ATATACAGAAATACACATAAGAATATACAGGTCATAGATACAGAAGCGATACAGACAGTACAGCAAGCTCAAGGGATAAAAAGACACAGAGACAGGTTGGTCTACTCAGCTACCAGAATCAAAACCCAAGCAAAACAAGTGGGTCTTGAGATTCTACAGTGGGGGCCATTTTGACATGGGCAGGCAGGAGATTCCATAGCCTAGGGGCAGCTACCGAGAAGGGGCAGTCACTTCTCGTTTTCAAGAGGCTTTTTGGGACCACAAGCCACCAGTTCAGCTCCATCCATGCCTCAATGTCCTTGAGACACTCAAACAGGGGCGTCAGGGAGCAGCTGTTGAGCCTTTTGACTGGCAAGTAAATTTGGGAGTCATCTGCATATAGGTGGTAAGCGACGCCATGTTTCTTTAAGATAAGACCAGGGGGCAGAAGATACAGAGACAACAAAATGGGCCCCAAAATCGAGCCCACAGAATAATTCAAGTTTTATGGTAGATATACTTTTAATGCTCTGTGGTCAGTGTTGATGTAGAACTTCACATCAAGTATCAGTCAGTCTGCCCGCCTGTGCGTCATCACCGTGCTCATCTATCCATGCCCGCTCCCTCCACCAGGTCACGACAACAACTACTTCGACCTGGCCCAGAGTCTGCGGCAGAGAATCACAGACATGAAGATCAAGATTGACAGGCAGCTGAGTGTCCTGGCCGCCCTGAAGGATCGAGTCAAAGACCAGGTGGTGGAGATGCAGAGGCTGGAGGTACGGAGGCACAGCAGGGACATGTTCATACTCACGGGTGCGGCGAACGCTCTGGCTGTTTCTGATGAATGACAGGAAGTACTGTAAACGTAAGATAAGAGACAATTTTCCAAGACGCCTCAGAAGTCAAGAAAAAGACTTAAGTTTTTGGGCGAGTTGACAAACTGCCGAACAGAAACAAATGTTGTTACTTTAATTTTACACCTTTTTAAGGAAGTTATTATTTTACCTAAAATCATCACTGCCATAGAGCCAACACTTTAAAGTGCAGATCCTGCTCTGCCTTCGGATAAGGACAAAATGTGTTCTAGAGTATAAACTTAATTTTGACAATTTATAGTTGATTATTTAGAGACCACAACAGGTGGGGATTAAATAGAAATAAACAAATCATTACAATAAACAACTTTATAGTTTAATACAAGAAACTTTATGGAAATAATTCTATAGTATCTCAAAATAAGGAGAAACTCTCTCAGTGGTTTGAGTGAGGCCCCTTTTGAGATTTGAAGTCAATATTTTTAAGGAAGTTTCTTTTTGTTTTTAAACACTAAGTCGTTATTTTGAGACCTTTTCTCATTATTCTTGAGATACAAAATCATTTTGAGAGACGAAGTCATAATTATGAGGAAGTTTCTCATTGTTTCGATATACTAAGTCATTTTTTTAGACAATGTCTTCATTTTGAGACACAAGATCTTTTTAAAAGTTTCTCATAGTTTCTAAGAAACTGTCTTTTCAAAAAGTTTCTAATTTTCTCGGAAAAGTATTGTTATTTGGAGGAAATTAGCTTCTATGCTAGTTAGCTTTAGCAGGAGTTAAGAGGTTTTTTTTCTCCATTATTATTGGATCAATTAATTGTGTAGAATAAAATGTAGTTTTAGCTTCAGCTAAAGTTAGCTGAGGCTACAACACCAGCGAGCGTTCACTTGGTGTCTTCTTCACACAGACAGAGTGACGTTTCTGTGATTTAGCTGTTGTTAGTTAAAGTTAAAAAGCTGTTTCTTCAGAAATGATTCATTTCAAAGGCATAAGATTTTTTATTTAGCAACACAGACGCCAGAGAGTCAGATTCAGGCAAGTTTTCTCTTGACTTGAGTAAGTTCACTCCATGCACAAAGATGAGAATCATCATTTTATTCACTGTCAGAGATTCTGCAGAGTTGATTTGTGTGACCTCCCTCATTTTCTAATTTTTCGTCTCCTCTGTCAGGTGGATATCGATATTAAGCTCCGCTCCTGCAAAGGATCCTGCCAAAGCTACTCTGAGTACAATGTGGACAAGGACAGCTACGTGGAACTGGACAAACAGGTGAGCTTTGAATTGGCTTTAAACTGGATTTAACACTATTAATTATGAAAGCTTCCACATCTAAATACTGCTGAATGATGTTAAGATCTATTTGGTCTGCAGCCTTTTTACTACAACCACTTCTTGGGGCAGGAACTGCACATTTCAACCATTTATCCTGTTAAACACCAGCTACTAGCTAACTGTTTCAACTGTGTATCTGTAACCAGCTGCAGCAAGAGCAGCTATGTGACCCGCCAACTGGCCACATGACTCGCCCACCATTCCTACATGTCAGCCGGCGATCAGCTCCCTTCGCCTCTTGGCCTTAAAGCAGAAGCTTTAAAGGAAATGCTAAGTTAGCTGTTAGCTATCAA